ATATCTGTGGAACGACCAGGGTCAGACAAAGGACTCTTGTCTGCTGGAGCTAGGTGAGAATGTTTCAACTGACCACCTTGATTATCATTTGATTGCCTGGCAGTGCCTGGGGCAATCTTTTGTTGAGAGGTGATTAGATGTGCCAGAGTGTTTCCTTTCTGTTGTTTTGCTGCTGTAATTTTAGAGTTTTTTTAATACTCTTAGCCAGATTTTGTTCATTTTCATGGTTTCCTCCTTTCTGTTGAAATTGTCCACATGCTTATGGATTTCAGTGGCTTCTCTGTGTAGGCTGACGTGGTTGTGAGAGTGGTCCAGTATTTCTGTGTTCTCAAATAATATGCTATGTCCAGGTTGGTTCATCAGGTGCTCTGCTATGGCTGACTTCTCTGGTTGAAGTAGTCTGACGTCCAGAAGCATTCTCTCCTGACGTTCCCCTTGCATCTATGGCAGGCATCCTCAGAGGTTGTGAGGTCTGTTGGAACTAGGAAAATGGGTTTATATATCTGTGGAATAATGTCCAGGGTGGGAGAAAGAACTCTTGTCTGTTGGAGATAGGTGTGAATGTTGCAATTGAAACTGCAAGGCCAAATAATAATAATAATAATAATAATAATAATAATAATAATAATAATAATATAATAATAATCTTTATTTATACCCCACCACCATCTCCCCAAAGGGGACTTGGAGCGGCTTACATGAAACCAAGCCCAGCGATACAGCAACATAAAATATAAACAACAAAATAACATCACAATAAAATAAATAAACCAATCAAGTAAAATAAACAGGACATAACATAATGAAAAATAAAAGACAATGGGCGGGCCTAATGCATGACCTAAAATAATAAAACTCTGGATGAGATAGCCGTGAAAGGTGCATTTGTGGGAGAGGAGCTCATAGGGGACTGAACAGTGGAATTAGACTTTCAGTAAGGTGGGGGAAAGTGCAATATGAGGGAAACCGTGTAGGCAAAACAACAGGACTGGAATATATATGAAATGCTAATCAAGGTGGCCAATTGCAACATGCACACCTGCTTCTAATAGACAAGAGTTCTTTCTCCCACCCTGGACATTTTTCCACAGATATATAAACCCCACTTATTTAGTTTCCAGCAGACCTCACAACCTCTTAAGATTCCTGCCATAGATGCAGGGGAAACATCAGGAGAAAATGCTTCTGGAACATGGCCACACAGCCCAGAACACTCACAACAACCCAGTGATTCCGGCCATGAAAGCCTTTGACAATATATTAAAGTAGCGTTTCTCAACCTGGGGGTCAGGACCCCTGGGGGGGTCACGAGGGGGTTTCAGAGAGGTTGCCAAAGTCAATCAGAAAACATATATTCTAATGGACTTAGGAACCCCTTTGGCAGAGAAGGCTGAAAATCTCTCCACCTGTCCTTCTCTTCCTTTCTGGAAATAGATGGCAAATCCCCCCCCCCCCAAAAGCCCTCCACTGTGATTGGCCAACTTCTCAACCAGCCCTTCATCTAAGGGGTGGGCTGTTTCTGAGACTCCAAGTGGGGAGGGGAGAGTGTGTGGAGCTGGAGGGAGGTTCATGCATGAGCCTTCAAGGCATGGGGGTTCTGTGTGGGAAGTTTGGCCCAATTCTATTATTGGCGGGGTTCAGAATGCTCTTTGATTGTAGGTAAACTATAAATCCCAGCAACTACAACTCCCAAGTGTCAAGGTGTATTTTTCCATTACTCCACCACTGTTCACATTTGGGCATATTGAGGATTCGTGTCCAGATCTATCATTGTTTGAGTCCATAGTGCTCTCTGGATATCGGTGAACTACAGCTCCAAAACTCAAGGTCAAAGCCCGCCAAACCTTTCCAATGTTTTCTGTTGTTCATGGGAGTTCTGTGTGCCAAGTTTGGTTTAATTCCATCATTGGTGGAGTTCAGAATGCTCTTTGATTGTAGGTTACCTATAAATCCCAGAAACTACAACTCCCAAATGACAAAAATCAATTTTTTGAGTGATGGTCACTCCTTAGGTTAGTATGTGTCTTGTGGCCAAATTTGGCAGCAATTCGTCCAGTGGTTTTTGAGTTATGTTAATCCCACAAACAAACACTACATTTTTATTTATATAGATTATTATTATTATTATTATTATTATTATTCAAGGTGGCCAATTGCAACATTCCCACCTGCCTCAAACAGACAAGAGTTCTTTCTCCCACCCTGGACATTATTCCACAGATATATAAACCCCACTTGGCCTACTTTCCAACAGACCTTACAACCTCTGAAGATGCCTGCCATAGATGCAGGGGAAACGTCAGGAGAGAATGCTTCCAGAACATGGCCACACAGCCCAGAAAACTCACAGCAACCCAGTGATTCCAGCTACGAAAGCCTTTGACAATGCATTAAAGTTTTGTTCTTGGTCTCTATCAGTTTAAAATGCTGCCAGAGCTGTTTCAGGATGAGAAGGATGCTGCTCCTGCGTCGGCAGCACCCTCCGGCCGGACGCCATTATCTCGAGCCGCAGTGAAACCAGCCAAGTCAAAAGCTGGTCAGACAAGCAAAGAACACAAGAAGACAGTGGGCACTCAGGTGGGTTGGGTCTCTTCTTGTACTGCTTTTTCCTTGCCTTTTGATACGTTGCGATCGGGCATTGGCAAACCTTGGCTCTCCAGGTGTTTTGGACTTCAACTCCCACAATTCCTAATAGCCAGTATGCTGATAGGAATTGTGGGAGTTGAAGTCCAGAACACCTGGAGGGCCAAAGTTTGCCTATGCCTGGATTACGTAGTTGGTCTCTCTAACACTCAGGGACACCTGATCCTCGAGTACTGTGAAGAAATCTATCCAATTAGTGTGAAAGATGTCAATATCCCGTTGCTAACATATTGGTGATATTGGATCATTTAATGGTTATTTTGTTTCCCAGAAATGCTCTCCGAAATTATGGAAATGAGATGTTTATAGAAAGACTTCACAAATCATCAGATTGTTTCTCTCTGTTTTTTAAATTGCTCTTCCCTCATCTTTTCCCTATAGTTCAGAAATTCCCTGCATCTTCTGATGGAGACCCTGAATGCCACAACTCCACATTATGTGCGGTGTATTAAACCAAATGACTTCAAGATTCCATTTATGTAAGTGAGTGTGTGCATCTTGTGTAAGACTGTAGGATCTATATAGCAATATTAAATGACCACTCACAAGCCGGTTTTGCTTTGAAATGGATATATTGCTTGTATCTCTGCAGCAAAGAAAGACACTACTGACTTTTTCCCACCACCACTTCCTTTTATACCCCTTTCCTGCCCATCTCCCCTCTCTTCTCATTTTCCTTAGTAGAGCTGGTTGCTTCACAAGTTCCAAGACAAGGTTTCCAGCGCCCTCTGCTGGCTTCAAAATGTCACAGAGAGAGAATTGAGGCAGCCAGGATGATTCAGTCAGGATGTCACGGAGGGAATTTGTGATGTCTTCATACCGTCAGAAATGGACTCCTGACATCTTGTCGGAAGTGAAACGCTTGCTGAACAAGGAACAAAACTTATTGCGTTTCCTCCTGCTTGTTTTGAACATAAACAAACATCTTCAATAGTTGCCAATAAAAGTGTTGTGATTTGTGCAGAAATCTTAACTTGGAACTTGGGAACATAAAAAAGAAACCTCTCATCCCAATTGCCAAACATGGTTATTGGCTTATAGTCCAAAACAAGTGTTTTCAAGCTCTGGATTTTTATTACCCTATATACTCAAGTATAAGCTGACCCGAATATAAGCCGAGGCACCTAATTTTACCACAAAAAAACCCAGGTTCCTTGTCGTGGTCAACTGAATCGCACATATGGTTATTCCAGCGCCTGCGCAGACCAGCCTCTGAACCTTCTAGAAAAATAAAAAAGTCATTTTTCCCTGGCCTCGGCCCCACCCACTCTCCTTTGAGTATATATATCCCGTAGGCGGGGCTAAGGCTCTCGGTTCTCTTGATCTGCCGCCTCGAGCAGCAGTGTGAGAATCTTCATATTACGAGCTTGTTTCTTTGGACTGCTCTTTGGTGAACTTTTATCTTGGCATTTGACTTGGACTGGATTAAACTGGCAAAAAATCTAGATTAAACAAGAGTTCTTGCAAAACACACCAAAATCACACAGTTCAAAGCAAACAAGCAAACAAAGAGCCATGAAGAGAAGCCGTCCAGTAGCAGTCCAAAGTTGAAGGAATCCCAGTTGAAAGTTCCAAAGTCCAGAAGGCAGCATCGTCGTCGGAAACAGTCTGAAGTCAAGGAGAGGGGTAATGCAAGCCGGTCAGTACACGAAGCAAACAGCAACCTGCAGATCCAGGACACAAGCCCAACAGGAAAGTGGCAGTGACAGAACCCAAGGCACGAAACCAACACTTTGCCTTCTGCAAAGTTCTATCATTCCAGTGCCTTCATTTATCTTACAGCTCATCATCGGATGATGAGCTGCCCTCCACCTCATCCTCATCACTATCAGCTGGCTTAGCTTCTACAGCTGAACGCCAACGCCCATCCCTCCAACTCTTCCACCTCTTGTCAAGACTTAGGTCTCCCCACGATTCCACCAGATTGCCAATCCCCGCCACCAGAAAACACCGCACAAGTGTCACTGGATGTTGGTTGAGTACACACATTCTGAACCTCCTGTACCCTGGTCCAATCCAGTGGTTCCTCTTCATCCCCATCACTCCCAGACCCATCATTCCCAGAAAAACCCATGAAATCCTCTTCCTCTGTGGGAGCAGTAAGTATGTCCAGGATCTTCTTTCTCTGACCCTCCTCGTCTGACTCCTGCTCTCGAGTAATCCTCTTAATGCCTCTATTCCCATCTGAATCTCATTCCTCCTCCTCCTCACTCGTTTTACTCTTGGAGAAACCTTGAAAGGATTCTTCATCAGTGGGTGACATAAGTAGCTCCCGAATTCTCTTTCTTTGCTGCTCCTCATCTAACACCCGGGCACCTCGTTTCCCTCCTCTACCACTCCTACTACCAGTTGCAGCGTTGCCAATAGACTCTACTACAACAAAAACAATATTGGAGGTATCTATGTGAGGAAGATACTTTCTGTATTTTGATTTCCTGTTACACACAATTTGGAATATTTGTTAACCCACTTAATATGTAGCTACGTATCTAAAGTAACAATCGTCTCGTTATTTAAAAAGCTGTCCTTATATTCCCAATTTCCCTTTGCTTAAAAAAAGTTCTTATGTTATATGTGTTAGGGAAAACTATTATTTATTATTATTTGAAACATTTATATTCCGCCCTTCCCAGAGTTTGCTAATGAGAGACACCTGTCGTCCATAGGTTTGATGAAAAACGGACCGTGCAGCAGCTCAGAGCTTGCGGTGTGTTGGAAACCATCCGAATCAGTGCGGCTGGTTTTCCCTCAAGGTGAGCCGATTAGTGGTATCAGCATATTTGCTGGAATGTTATTGATACAGAAAGAGATTTCCTGCTGACTAATGCGGTGTTGATTCTTAAACCAGGTGGACGTATCAGGAGTTCTTCAGCCGCTATCGCGTCCTGATGAAGCAGAAGGATGTTCTCAGTGACAGAAAACAGACCTGTAAAAACGTCTTGGAGAAGCTGATTCTGGTACTGGACCTTGGTTTGATATCTAAAATTTACTGAAGTTGAAAAGGATGTTGGTAGGATCTTGATCATTAAAAATCTTCCGAGATGCAAGAACCTTCCCTTTATTGCTGAAGGCTTTCATGGCCGGAATCACTGGGTTGTTGTTGTAATAATAAATAATAATAACAACAACAACAAGAACAACTAGCTGTACCTGCCACGCGTTGCTGTGGCCAACATTCCCTCCCTCTTTCTCTTCTTCTTTCTTTCTCTCCTTCCTTCCCTCCCTCTTTCTCTCCTTCTTTCTTTCTCTCCTTCCGTCCCCGCCTCTTTCCTTCCTTTCCTCTTTTTCTTTCCCTTCTTCTTTCTTCCTTATCTATCTGTTTCTTTTTCGTTTCCTTTGCTCTTTGGTTCCATCCTTCCTTGTCTCTTCCTTTCCTTCCCTCCCTCTTTCTCTTTTTCGTTCCTTCTCTCCTTCCTTCCCTCTTTCACTTTTTTATTTCGTTCTCTCCTTCTTTCTCTACCTTTCTTTCTTTCCTTCCCTCCTTCTTTCCCTCTTTCCCTCCTTCTCTRCTTCCTTCCTTCTCTACCCTTCTTTCTTTCCTTCTTTCTTTGTCTCCTTGCRGCTTTATTTCCCTTCTTCTTTCTTTCTTTCTTTCTCTCTTTCTCTCCCTCCTTCTCTCCTTCCTTCCTTCTCTACACTTCTTTCTTTCCTTCTTTCTCTCCTTCCCGCCTTCTTTCCCTTCTTTCCCTCTTTCTTTCTCTCCCTCCTTCTCTCCCTCCTTCCTTCCTTCTCTACCTACCTTTCTTCCTTTCTTTCTTTCTTTCTTTCTTTCTTTCTTTCTTTCTTTCTTTCTTTCTTTCTTTCTTTCTTTCTTTCTTTCTTTCTTTCTCACCCTGACACTGTTTGTATGTTTCCTCTGAAAATAGGACAAGGATAAATACCAGTTTGGGAAGACCAAAATATTTTTCCGGGCTGGCCAGGTGGCTTACCTGGAGAAAATTAGGGCGGACAAACTCAGAGCYGCTTGCATCCGCATCCAGAAGACCATCCGGGGGTGGCTGCTGAGGAAAAAGTACCTGCGTATGCGCAAAGCGGCCATCACGGTTCAAAGATACGTCCGAGGATACCAGGCGCGATGGTAAGCTGGACCCCTGGGGAAAATGGGCTTTAATCTGATTAGGGAGGGCTTGAAATAGAGCAGGCAAGCCTACAGCCAGGTTTTTCTGTACCGACAAGACCAAAATTAGTATGCCATAAACCAGGAAGGGAGTCTTCCAGGTGTCCTTGGGTTCTAGCTCCCAGCATTCCTCTCCTTGGTTGTACTGGCTAGTCTGACAGCATGTAGAAGGCCATGTGATGCCCGTCCTCTAGTATACCAAGGGTTAAATTGAAGGTCTAACATAGAGTAGACCCACTGAAGGAATTGTCAAGTGGTAAGTCCACAGTGCCCCCTGGTGGCATTGTTGAGCTGCTGAACTTGCTGACCGAAAGGTTGGTTAGTTCCAAAACATTATTTTTGGAACTATAGCTTCCTAAACTCTCTCAGACAGCATAATTATTGAAGGGACCTCTATTTGTTCCCCCATCTCAAAAACCCTCCTTTCCCAGGCTCAGCATATGGCAGCATGTCCTTGAGATCATTAATCTTACCCCATATATATATATATATATATATATATATATATATATATATCTTGTAATACAATATAATACCTTTGAACTGCTGAACTTGCTGACTGAAAGGTTGGCAGTTCGAATCCAGGGAGTAGGGTGAGCTCCCACTGTCAGCCAACCTAGCAGTCTGAAAACATGCAAATGTGAGTAGGTCAATAGGTACCACTTCTGCAGGAAAGTAACGGCGCTCGATGCAGTCACGCTGGCCACATGACCTTGGAGGTGTCTATGGACAACACCAGCGCTTCAGCTTAGAAATGGAGATGAGCACCACCCCCAGAGTCGGACACGACTACACTTAATGTCAGGGGAAACCTTTATCTTTACTAAGTCTTCATTTTGTGGCTAAAATGCATTTAATTCCAAGGATGTTCATTTTCTTATTCAATGAGCTAAATTGACCTTACCAGCAGCTTGATAAACTTCATGCCCATTGGATTTTGCAGTATTTGCTTCCAAATAAATAAGGTTTTGGTTTATTTATGGTAATCGTAGAAAGATGTCATTGGGTCCCCCAAAGGGCTACAGTTGCTGAGATTTGTGCAGAACTTGGGAATGCTACATTTTAGATTTCCAACTCCCACAAGTAATATTATAATGTAATACAATATAATACTATTAATACTAATATAATTAGATATTTATATTACATGTAATATTACTAATAATGTTACAACATAATGGTATAGTACAATATAGTAATATCTAATACTGATATTGTACTATGCTAATAATATTATATATATATCTTGTGAGCCGCTCTGAGTCCCCATCAGGGTGAGAAGGACGGCATATAAATGTCGTAAATAAATAAATAAAAGTCTGTAGGCAGTAGATGACTGGTTGGGAGACTCTGGAAGTTTTAATTTTAAGAAAGTAACTTCTGGAGCTAAGTTGAACTGCAATTTGAACTGCAATTTTTCATAGAGAGCAGTATTAGTACAAGACCATGAAACTGCTCTGGAGAGTATAAACAACGTGTTTTTCCCCCCGAACTTTTCTTGATCAGCCTTGCCAAGTTTCTTCGGAGAACCAAAGCTGCCACCATTATCCAGAAATTCCGGCGCATGTATGCTGCCCGCACGCGATACCGTCGTACACGAGCAGCCACCGTGGTCCTCCAGTCCTACTCGCGAGGTTATCTTGCCAGGAAGAAGTACCGCAAAGTAAGGCAGCCTATTCTTCAACTTTTGGTTGTGGTTTTGCATGAGATCTGTGTCGGTGGCATTGGCCGCACAGCAAGGCAGGAAACACATTCGATCACAGCCACCTTAGGCTATAAACTACTTTATTTACAGCTATATACATTAGAAGCTACTTAACACTCAGCACATCGTAAAACTTGCTTCCATCCCATCCGATCATAACATCGAGAACACACAAACATTCTGTTATAAGTACTAGTCCACACCTCCTGCATTCCAGAGTGATGTATGACGTAGGACACACGACTCTGCGTCCATTTGCTCTATACACTTGATTTATGACCTCTCTAGGAATGCCGTTCCATCTATGGTTCAGGTAACTCTTTCCACACAGGAATACACTCGGCACAAAGCTACTACATATTTGGAAATCTACACCATAAATTGCAAACAGCTCCAACAATCTGGAGCAGTTTATATGTCAGTGCTCTCTTTCTTCTTTGTGGTGTCTGTGAAAATTGCACATATGGGATTTTCCTGCGCATGTGTGGCATTTCAGAACCCCTCCTCCTCTTCCTGTATTTCAGTGACCTGAAGTGTTATAGAGGAAGTATTCTGCAGGGGAAAAAAACCTTTAGAGTTTTGACTCTTAGTGTGTTTGACATGATACAGAGAGAGGGTGGCACATGGTGCCAGTATTTGGAAACGGTCTTGCACATGAGCTCTTCAGTGACTAGGTTCTTGTGGGTTTTTTCGGGCTATAGAGCCATGTTCTAGAGGCATTTCTCCTGACGCTTCGCCTGCATCTATGGCAAGCATCCTCAGAGGTAGTGAGGATGCTTGCCATAGATGCAGGCGAAGCGTCAGGAGAAATGCCTCTAGAACATGGCTCTATAGCCCGAAAAAACCCACAAGAACCTAGTGATTCCAGCCATGAAAGCCTTCGACAATACATTGAACATCTTCAGTGACTGTTTCCAGTCATGATAGTTTTGATGTGTGAATGGAGTGGGGAACCTATTCTGTACTAGTCATGATAGAGATTACTTACATTTACAATTTATGTGTACTGTTTGATTAATAGCACTCTTGTTATTCGTCATGCAGTTGTGAATAATCAGATCTAAAGAAAATCTGTCCTTGAACACATTTTATTTATATAGATCTACCTATCTATATAAATAAAAATGTAATGTTCGTTTGTGGATTAACATAACTCAAAAACCACTGGGTGAATTGACACCAAATTTGGACACGATGCACCTCTCAGGCCATCTTGTCTTTACTAATAATACAATATAGTATATTGTATATACATATAATATAATATTATAATGTAATACAATATAATACTAGTAATAATAATACAATATTATAATTATATATTTACATTACATAATAGTACAATATAGTGGTATAGTGCAATATAGTAATATCTTTATTATTATTTATTATTTATTTACAACATTTATATGTCGCCCTTCTCACCCTGAAGGGGACTCAGAGCGGCTTACAAGTAAAATGTAAATGCAATATATTATTATTATTATTATTATTATTATAACAATATTAATATTATATATTACATTGTACTATAACAGTGGTTCTCAACTGGGGGGTCGGGACCCCTGAGGGGGTCGCCAAAGACCATCAGGAATTTTCTGTTGGTCATGGGGGCTCTGTGTGGGAAGTTTGGCCCAATTCTATCATTGGTGGCGTTCAGAATGCTCTTTGATTGTAGGTGAACTATAAACCCCAGCAACTACAACTCCCAAATGTCAAGGTCTATTTTCCCCAAACCCCACCAGTGTTCACATTTGGGCATATTTTGTATTTGTGCCAAGTTTGGTCCAGATCCATCATTGTTTGAGTCCACAGTGCTCTCTGGATGTAGGTGAACTACAACTCCAAACTCAAGGTCAATGCCCACTAAACCCTTCCGGTGTTTTCTGTTGGCCATGGAAGTTTTGTGTGCCAAGTTTGGTTCAATTCCATCATTGGTGGGGATCAGATTGTAGGTGAACTATAAATCCCAACAACTCCAACTCCTCCCGATTCCACCACTATTCAAATTTGGGCATATCGGGAATTTGTGCCAAATTTTGTCCAGTGAAAATACATCCTGCTTATCAGATAATTGCATTACCATTCATAACTGGAGCAAAATTACAGTTATGAAGAAGCAAAATAATGGTATGTTTGGGGGTCATCACAACATGAGGAACTGTGTTAAGAGGTCGTGGCATTAGGAAGGTTGAGAAACATTGTACTATAACATTGTACTGTAATATTATTAGTAATATTACATTTAATATAAAACATATAATTATAGTATCATTTTATTATTATTACTATATTGTATTACATTATAATATTATCAATAATATATATAATACTGATATTGTACTATGCTAATAATATAATATATTGTATGAAAATAGAACTTGTATAACCCTTCGGGGTGAGAAGGGTGGCATAGAAATGCCATAAATAAATAAATGATAAATAACGAGTGACCATCACTCATAAACACACTGAAAAACACAGCAGAAGGGGCTTAAAAAGCCAAAAACATTAAAAAAAATTACAATGCATGCGCAAAACAACATATATATATGAAAACACACATATACACAAATATATACACACACACAAAACACGTATACACAGACTGGGCCACAGCAACGCATGGCAGGGGACGGCTAGTATCTACTAGTTGTTTCTTCAAATCCAAAAATTACCATTGATGTTTCAGATAACTTTTAGATATACATTTAAGATTATTCCATTATTATTAGTCATTGGAAGGGAGTTGTTACAGATTGTGTTCTGGTACAAGGGATCTGATTCATCAGAGACATTTCCTTTGTGGTTTCTGTAGCCACCCAAACTGGCCTGGGTGATTTGTCACAGGCAGTCAATGCAAACTGCACTTTTCCATTGTACATCAGTGGTAAAATTTCCGTGCAACTTTAAATGTGACATTGCCGTGTGGTATGACCTGAAGCTAAAGTTAGACATGAGAAGGGGGTTGAGTGTTCAGACTTCAAATGGGCTGTCAGAGCCTGAAGGAAGAGATACATTGGAGGCTTCATCTGCATTGAGAGTCACATTCCCTTTTCTGTTTCTCCTCGTTTTGGTTTGCAGCTTTATCTTTTGGACAGAGGTCCTGTGATCTTTGAGGGTTTGTGCCAAAATATATAAATGTATTGTCGAAGGCTTCCATGGCCGGAATCACTGGGTTGTTGTAGGTTTTTTTGGGCTATATGGCCATGTTCTAGAGGCATTTTCTCCTGACGTTTCCCCTGCAACTATGGCAAGCATCCTCAAAGGAAAAAAAAAAAAAAAAAAAAAAAAAAAAAAAAAAAAAAAAAAAAAAAAAGAAAAAAAAAAGAAAAAAAAAAAAAAAAAAAAAAAAAAAAAACAAAGATAAAAAAAAAACAAAAAAAAATGAAGAAAAGAAAAAGAAAAACAAAAAAAAAAAAAAAGAATAATGGAAGAGGGAGAAGAAAAAGAAAAGGGAGGGAGAAAATCATGAAGAAGTAAAATTGAAAAAAATGGAAAAAGAAAAAAATATTAAAAATAAAAAAAAAAAAAAAAAAACAAAAAAAAAAAAAAACAAAAAAAAAAAAAAAAAAAAAAAAAAAAAAAAAAAAAAAAAAAAAAAAAAAAAAAAAATAAAAAAAAAAATAAAAAAAAAATAACAAATAAATAACAACAATAATAACGATAACATATTAAAAATCAAATAAACAAATAAAATAATAATAAAATAAAAATTAAAATAAAATACTAAATATTAAACATTAATAAAATAATATTAATAATAAAAAAATTAAGATTTGGCTAAGATGGCGCTGGTGTAATCAGACGTGTTCAGCTGAGCTCCGATATCTAAAGTGAAGTGGTGAAGTTTGGGCTCATGTGGACAATTTCAACAGAAAGGAGGAAACCATGAAAACGAAATCTGGCTACCAGTATTAAAAACTCTAAAATTACAACAGCAAAACAACAGAGAGGAAACAATCTGGGACAGCTAATCACATCTCAAGAAAAGATTGCCCCAGGCACTAACAAGCCACACCAAACAACTGCCAGGCCATCAAATGCTAATCAAGGTGGTCAGTTGAAACATTCACACCTGGCTCCAAGAGACAAGAGTTCTTTGTCCCACCCTGGTCATTCCACAGGTATATAAACCCTTTTTCGTAGTTCCAACAGACCTCACTACTTCTGAGGATGCTTGCCATAGATACAAGCGAAACGTCAGGAGAAAATGCCTCTAGAACATGGCCATATAGCCCCCCCAAAAAACCTGCAACAACCCAAAATATATAGAGTGGCATGGGTGTAATTTGTGAGTAGATGCTTATCTGCCACCTCCTCAAAAAATAGGGCTCTCTGTCACAGCTGGCGACTACATATGATCAAAGCTTGTTGACGTTATTTTTGGAACTATGGCTTCCCAAATTCTCTCAGGCAGCATAATTATTGCAGGGACCCTATTTGTTCTTCCATCTCAAAAAACTCGTCTTTCTCAGGCTCAACATATGACAGCATGTCCTTCAGTTCATGCCTTTTACCCCATGATGGGTTATATTTAGAAGCCCCTAGTGATTTGATTTTGGAAAAAAATGGCATTCATAACCTTTTTGAAACAGAAAAAATGATGCCATATCCTTTTGGCAAAGGTGAATCTCCATGAAAATCTGGAGACCACCTTTTGAAAACCACTAGTCAAGAAAAGGCATGACCTTGTTAGAAGTCGACCCTTTGAACAAGTGATGTTCACAAGCATTCATGTAGCAGAATACAGGTAACTCAGCAGTTAAACTGATAAACCATGTCTTTGAACTGCCAGGGACAAAGACATGCCACTGCATAAAAAGTATATTTGGCTAGCAGAATTTTAAAAATATTTCTTTGGAGTTGAAATTGCAGTTTCCCAAAACATATATTCTCTCTTGAAACCTCTTAGTTTAGAATATGCACTCAGAAACAAAAAAAGTCTTCTTTGAAAAATAACATATTTTGTTTATTCGCAAACATGCTCAGTACAATCTCATCTCTGTAGCCCCTCCCACACCAAAGAGGTCAGTCAAACAGGCAAATCATATATACATACAATACAGGATAGCAAATATATACATTAACAAACAAATAGTAAAGGCTTGGAAGGTTGCGATTTCCAACATTTGAGGCTGTAAACTATAGCTGATTTAGTTTATGAAGAAATCCAGAATGGAGTGTTTTCTGCTCTTCTTACTTCCTACACATGGGACAATCCTGGAAGAGATTAGAAGGTGTCCCATTTGTGTTGAGAGATAATGATACCTGTAGTTCAGGAATGGATCATTAATGATGTCGTATGGAATGTTTTCTTGTCTAGGGAGTAACTGCAATAGGTGGGAGTAGCTATTATAAAACTATGTGTAAGAGTCACGTGAACATAATACAATTTTAGAAAAGGTTGGATCGTTTGATGTCTGTGTTCTGGAAGATAAGGGAGTAAGATGCCTGTCAGTTTCATGGGAGGCTTACTCAATATTTGGGTCACGTGTCTAGTAAACTCTTTAATATCTTAATGTTCCTTGGATGTTCTTTGGACTTGCCATATCTGCTGAATCAAGGTATTTTTAGGAAACGTTAAAGACAACAAGATGTCAGTAGTTGAAATATTATTATTATCTAGTCTTGGCATCACTTCAGGAAAGGAAATTATATTTGACTGGTGATCTCTATTTTGCAAAGTGTACTTTTTATTGTTGTACTCGCTGTCCCCTGCCACGCGTTGCTGTGGCCCAGTATAGTGTTGATTTCTAATATATGTAATTTCTTTATGGTGGTGGATAAACACTATTTCTTGCTGTTTTTTTTGTCAGTGTTGATGTGGAGAGTGTCTGGTTTGCCTACTCTGGAACATGCAACATATCATTGTCCTTCTTTAGGGGTCCCTTTCAAATCTATACTGTATCTCTCTGTGTGTGAATCATACCTACCTATCTATCCATCTACTCCTATCTATCTATCTATCTATCTATCTATCTATCTATCTATCTATCTATCTATCTATCTATCTATCTATCTATCTATCTATCTATCTATATCGATGGCTGGATGGCTCTTTGTCAGGAGGACTTTGTTTATGTTTTCTTGCCCTGATGAAGGAAGTTGGATTGGATGGTCTTAAGTATTTTCTGTTGGTCATGGGGGTTCTGTGTGGGAAGTTTGTCCCGATTCTCCGTTCGTGGGTCAGAATGCTCTTTGATTGTATGTGAACTGTGAATCCCAGTGACTACAACTCCCAAATGTCAAGGTCTATTTCCCCAAACTCCATCTGTGTTCATATTTGGGCATATAGATTTGTGCCAAGTTTGGTCCAGATCCATCATTGTTTGAGTCCACAGTGTTCTCTGGATGTAGGTGAACTACAACTCCCAAACTCAAGGTCAATGCCCACCAAACACTTCCAGTATTTTCTGTTGGTCAAGGGAGTTCTGTGTGCCAAGTTTGGTTCAATTCCATTGATGGAGTTCAGAATGCTCTTTGATTGTAGGTGAACTATAAATCCCAGCAACTACAACTCCCAAATGACAAAATCATAATTTTTTGAGTGATGGCCACTCCTTGTGTTGTGAGACGTTTTGTTGCCAAATTTGGTGTGATTTCGTTCATTGATTCTTTTGTTTTTAAGGTACTCATTATGCACAGAACATTTTTATAGATATAGAAACTGACTGAAGTATTTTTATATTCGGGTAAGGAAAGGCATAGATCTAAATTGCTTGATGGAGGATATCAGTGTGTTGGTGTGAAGCAATTTAAGTTTGTGTATGAAATGAAAACTCTCCACACTGGAATGTGAAGGTTTGGCTAAACTGTTGATTTCACATCAAGAAGAGAGCATTCGGCTGTGACCGAAGAACTTTTAAATTCGGTTTATTTATAAAATAAATGTTTAATATATTACGGTGGGAAGGAACTCTCTTTGGGTCTCTATGTGAAATTCATGACAGTGCTCCAGGAAAGAATATTTACCCATTCCTCTCAATAAATTTGGCCTAGAGGAGGGGAAGAATGGAATAGTAATTTCATAAGCATAATTCAGTTTCCCCAAACTTAGTGCTTTCCTATGTTTTGTGGGTACCATCTTGCCCAGCTAGCATGGACCATGATAAGTAGGAAAGACATACATTGCATTCCACCACATCTAAAGGATGCCAGATTATCAAAAGGCTGCTTTGATCTATGTAACCCCCGGGTTCTTTATGGGTCACATGTATGGATCTTTGCCAAAGCAGAATCATTCTTCTGGAGACCTTCTAAAAAGCTGCATTATATGTAGGTGTCAGACCTTTGGTATTAGTCATGTGCGTTCGGGCCAAAAGGCATGCCGTTTTTTGGGTCCATTTTCATCTGACCTCTCATTTCGTTTACTGGAAAGTTACCCAAAACTTGAAAGGCTCAGTCATTAAACCTACCTCTGTTGTAGACCCCATTTACAACTGCAGGCCTGCCTAGTTTCAAAACAATTAACGGATCTACTGATTTTTTAGAATCATTTTAAATTTTAACCATAACATTTTTAAAAATATGACATGCTATAAGAGAGGATTTTAGGAATTGTCGTCGCTGGTCACACGGAAATTCTGGACCACTCTAACAACCACCATGTCAGACTACACAGAGAAGCCATTGAAATCCACAAGCATGTGGACAATTTCAACAGAAATGAGGAAACCATGAAAATGAACAAAATCTGACTACTAGTATTAAAAAAACCCTAAAATTACAACAACAAAACAACAGAGAGTAAACAATCAGGGACAGCTAATCACCTCTCAACAAAAGATTGCCCCAGGCACTAACCAGCCACACCAAACAACTGCCAGGCCATCAAATGCTAATCAAGGTGGTCAGTTGAAACATTCACACCTAGCTCCAACAGACAAGAGTCCTTTGTCCCACCCTGGTTATTCCACAGATATATAAACCCATTTTCCTAGTTCTAACAGACCTCACTACCTCTGAGGATGCTTGCCATAGAGGAAGGCGAAACGTCAGGAGAGAATGCCTCTAGAACATGGCCATATAGCCCGAAAAAACCTACAATCAGAGCATGAACACCACCAGGCTTTTTACTGGCTGAGAGACACAGAAACAGTAAAACTTCAAATCTCATCATACTCCGAAAGGAACTTTTCAATGACCACCCTCTCTTAATTTCGCTGGTCTTTTCGTGACTCTCTTCCCCTTTCTGTTTTTGGAAAGTAAACAAAAACAGCCCTCCGAAAACTACAAAAAATTTTGTTAACAGTGATTTGGGCCCAAGTCTATTCGGTATGATTGAATTATGTATTGCCTGTATGTGAAATGAAATATATGCATACTCTCTGAGAACATTGTGCCTGATTTGTAATAAATGTGCATTTTCAGTCATTGGAACATACTGAGCTGTTCATATACTAAGTAAATAGAGTATCATTTCTTCCGCATTTTTGATCTTATGAGGTTATTTTAACTAGTTTCATCAACTTCTGTGATAGCTCTTGTACTAACCTCCACTGCAAATATTTGTTAAGTTGTGTAGTTTCCAGCGGGGAAAAATCTCAAATGTGTGTTTTAAATTTGCAGATGCTTGAAGAGCACAAGGCCACCATTATCCAGAAACACGTGCGCGGGTGGCTGAGCCGCAAGCGCTACCACAAGACCTTGAAGGCCATTGTCTACCTGCAATGCTGCTGCCGGCGCATGATAGCCAAGAGGGAGTTGAAGAAGCTGAAGATTGAAGCCCGCTCTGTGGAACATTACAAGAAGCTCAACTTTGGCATGGAGAACAAGATCATGCAGCTCCAGCGTAAAATCAACGAGCAGGTATAATGCCAGGCTGTGAGCTGAATGGCCAGTCACCTTGGAAGTCGTCCCATTTCTCACTTGGTTATATCCTGATGGAAAAGCCCTATAACAGGCCCATGTGTGCCCTATTGTTGCACTCCGGAGATGGAAACAGGGCCCTCCTGTCATTAATACACCACACCTTGGTTTAGGAAAAATACAATCCTTTTTATTGAATGATGAAAATAAAATAGATAGAAGTCCAAAGGTTAAAAAGTCAGAATGAAAACAGCATTTTTAATGTATTATTATTATTATTATTATTATTATTATTATTATTATTATTTTATTTTATTTTTTAAAAATGAAAACCACAAATAGCAATGTCCATAAAGCTTACAGAAAATCCAAAGCAGTAATTTCCAGAAAACTCTCAATAGAAATCCATGAACAGATTAGCCCCTGCTACATCTCACTTGAAGCCAGAAATTCCCTTGGAGACCAGGCCTGGAAACTGGAAAACCCTGGAGATTGGTACTTGAAACTAAACAATACTTGGTCTGAGGAAATTCCCCTCACGGCCACTCTTAAATCCCAGAATCTGATTCCCGCTAACTCTAAACTTTGGTTTCAGTTGTCAATTCCTCTCAGACCTACGTAAACATTGAGCCTCCCTGCGGTTCTGGCTTATCTCCAAACTGCGGCTGTTATCATTGACCAGAACAGGTGTCGAGTTATCTTGCAAACTTGGGCCAAAAGGAGGAGGGAGTGAATTTTCTTCTCTCGGTCTGACAGAAACTTTCTCATGAGAACTTGGCTTTTCCCCTGAAGCCTCTAAATCAAATTTTCACTGCCGAAAAGTGTCTCCCAACTTGAACCTAGTCCTCATTGATCACTTCAGGCTCACTGTCCAAACTAGGCTCGTCAACATTTATTAATTTAGTATGCTTCTATACCGCTATTCTCAGCCCGAGGGCGACTCACGGCAGTTTACAAAATGGCACAATTCGATGCCCACAGCAGTACAAAAGTAGTTTAAACATTAAAAACATTTAACATAGATAAAAAAATTCATTACAATTCATTTATATCGATATTATTAACATTAGGAAAAACAACCAGAGATTCATGCTCAGGTTCACACACATGGTCACACACAGGCTGAGTCCCAACACCTATAACCTTTGGGTTTTAGAACATCTTTTTCCTAACAGGAAAATTTGAGTTGAACTAAAATGCGCTCTGTTAATCTGTATTCCTTTTGCTTTTGTCCAAGTCGAAAGACTTCAAATCCGTACTTGAGAAGCTGACCACTCTAGAGGTAGCATACAACTCTGAGACAGAGAAGCTGAAGAATGATGTGGAAAGGCTTCGAATGAGTGAAGAAGAGGCCAAGAACGCGACCAACCGGCTCCTGACCCTTCAGGAAGAGATCAACCAGCTCCGAAAGGAACTGCACCAAACGCAGACTGCAAAGAAGACCATTGAGGAGCAGGCAGGTGTATATAAACAGGAGACAGACAAGGTGAGTGTGCCTTGCTCTGCAGTGCGGTGCAGGACGTAAGAAATAATTTAACATAATTTAATTTCTAAGAGATGGAATCTACACATTGATCGGAAATAATGCATGCCCCTCTGCTCTTTTAATCCTCCCTAATAGAGAAAAGAGGTAGGCAAGCTGGTGCTCTCTAAGTGCTTTGGACTGTAATTTCAGTCATCCCAGAGAGGAGTTTTATGGGAGCTGTAGTCCAAAATATCTAGAGGATGCTGGCCTAGATATTCTCATTTTGAGTAACTTAAAGCGATTGCTAGCATTTCCCTTGTAGCATCTAATTCTGCTCTGAATTCTCAGCGCATGAAATATGAGATATGGACTTTCTGGCCTATGAGCCCTTGTTTTTGTGCTTATTTATTTGGTGGGATTGCCTTTGAAAACTGCTTGGAAGATTCAAATGGTCCAGCATGCAGCAGCCAGGTTACTAACAGGAGCTGCGCTCAGGGAGCATACAATTCCACTTCTGCGCCTGCTCCATTGGATGCCAGTTTGCTGCCGGGCACAATTCAAAATGCTGGCTTTAGCCTATAAAGCCCTAAACGGTTCTGGGCCATCTTATCTGTCCGAATGCATATCTCCCTATGAACCAGGAAGTTGAGATCATGTGAGGAGGCCCTGCTCTTCATCCCGCCTGCCTCACAGGCACATCTGGCGGGGACGAGAGACAGGGCCTTCTTTGTGGTGGCCCCTCGGCTGTGGAACTCCCTGCCTAGGGATATGAGATCGGCCCCCTCCCTCCTGACCTTTCGAAAAAGAGTGAAAGCCTGGCTCTTTTTGAGCAAGCATTTGGAACTTCAGCATGACCAGATAAACTCAAATTGGAATATGAACTAGGAACGCCTAAGATGATGGAACGGATGAGGAATCGAACAAGAAGACAGAGTTTTTATAATTTTTTTATTGTTTATTCCTTTTACAGTTTTTAATTGTATTATGATGTAATTTGGCATCTAATTGTTGCTGATTTGTACGCCGCCCTGAGTCGCCTTCAGGCTGATATGGGCGGGATAAAAATGATGTAAATAAATAAATATTTTTAGCCAGGGATTCATCTAGTTTAGCTGCCATATCGGAGCTGCGGGGACGCAATGGGTTAAACCAGGCATGGGCAAACTTTCTAACTTGGGGGCCGCATGTGGGCATTCCCTGCTAGGAGGACTGGCTTTCATGGTGACGGAAGGAAGGAAGGGAAGGAGGAAGGAAAGAGAGAAGGAAGGAAGGATGAAAGAGAGAAAGGGAAGGATGGTGGGAGACATTAAGAGAGAGAAGGAAGGGGAAAAGGGTGGAAGGGAAGGAAGAAGAAAGACGTGGTAAAGGAAGGGAGGAAGGAGGAGGAAAAAGAGGAAAGAAGGAAGAACGAAACAGTGAAAGGGAAGGAGAAAGAGGGAAGGAAAGAGGAAGGAAAGAGAGAAGGAAGGAAGGACAAAAGGGAGAAAAGGACAGATGGTGGGAGACATAAAGAGAGAGAAGGAAGGGAAAAAGGGTGGAAGGGAAGGAAAAAGAAAGATGGGGTAAAGAAGGGAGGAAGGAGGAGGAAAAAGAGGAAAGAAGGAAGGACGAAAGGGAAAAAGGGAAGGATGATGGGAGACATAAAGAGAGAGAAGGAAGGGCAAAAGTGTGGAAGGGAAGAACGAAGAAAGACGGAGGTAAGGAAGGAGGAGGAATGAGAGAAAGGAATAAAGAAGGAAGGACAAAATGGTGAAAGGGGAGGATGGTGGGAGACATAAAGGGAGAAAAGGAAGGACAAAAGGGTGGAAGGTAAGAAAGGAGACAGACAGAGGTAAAGGGAGGAAGGAGGAGGAAAGAGAGGAAAGAAGGAAGGACGAAATGGTGAAAGGGAAGGAGAAAGAGGGAGGGAAGGAGGAAGGAAAGAGAGAAAGAAGGAAGGATAGGATGGTGAGTGAGAGGAAGACCTGAGAAAAGAGCCCAAGGGGCTGCATGCGGCTCCCCGGCCGGGGTTAACCAATATCTGGGTAAAACCCTTGTGCCAGCTGAACTGCTGACCTGAAGTTCAGATCCGCAAGACGGGGTGAATTTTTGTCGGTCAGCCCCAGCTTCCCATGTGGGGACATGAGAAAAGCCTCCCACAGGATAGTAATACATAACAACAACAACACTTTATTTATATTCCGCTCTTATCATCCCAAAGCGGACTCAGGGATCACAGTACACATACACGGTAAACATTAAATGCTTGCTTTGTATAGACAATACACAGACAGAACAGAACAGAAAGAGGTGTGTTGTTTCTACTCAGTGTTTTGGTGCCGTGGAAGGTTGGGCTCAAGTCCAGCCACAGGGGGTACTGTCGCTCCATCCTCTGTGATGAAGAGCCGTCAGGACTTCCTCCTTCCATTCGGTCGCCCAGCATTTTCTGATCTTCTTTCTTTATGACATCATAAAACACCTCCCTCGCTTTTAGCGGTACCTAATTTCTTTAATTACAGCTAAAGCTGTTTTGAATTGCTTAGGTAAACAGTGAGCTTAGGTAAACAGCTTAGGTAAACAGTTGGCAGCTCACGCTGACCCGGGGCTTCAAACTTGCAACCTTTCGGTTGATAGATCTTATACTTGCTAGTGATTTACCAGCTGTGCTAAACCTCTGACCCAGATCCGGGTGTCCCTGGGCAACATCCTTGCAGACAGCTGATTCTCTCACACCAGAAGCAACATGCAGTATATTCCCAAACTGCTTCTGACTTGAAAAAGAAATCTGCCATATCGTTTTCTTCCTATCAGATTTGTTGAAAATGTTGCAGGTAGAGGAGGCAATAATAGTATTATAAACAACACCAGTGTAAATGTTTTAATTTCCTTTGTCAGGAATAACATAAATATCTTTTTTTAGATAATTGCTGGAAGAGAGCACTGGTTTAGGATGATCCTTCTGGTCTTAGCTTTGCTTATGAGGCTTTATTGTTTTTAATTAATGCTGTATGTACTGTTTTCAATAATTGCTTTATGTATTTAATTGTGGTTATATTATTGTAATTGTTATGTAGCGGCTTTGTACCGTTACCAAATTTAAGCCGTTTGGGGACAGAGAAGAGACGGGATAGAAATATCGGAAATAAATAAATAAATAATAATAATAATAATAATAATAATAATAATAATAATAATAATAAATAAATTCTTTTTTTTGTTTGAAGCTGATGCTAGAACTTACAGAGCAAAACACTCTGCTTAAAAAAGAAAAAGACGAGCTGAACCATCGCATCCAGGAACAAGCCAAAGAGATCACAGGTACGTTGGATTTCAGTTTTGTTTGATTTGAGTCAAACCTGCCAATGTAGAGGACCGACTGTAAATGGAACAAGTCATCCATGATTGTAATTGGACACGAGACGCCAGACAAGCTTCCTCCCCTTAGGTTCTGAAGGTGGCAGTGTGGCATAGCACAAGATAATAATAATAATAATAATAATAATAATAATAATAATAATAATAATAATAATCTTTATTTATACCCCACCACCATCTCCCTCATCTCCCTCGGGGTGGCTTACATGAGGCCAAGCACAAACAACAAATTACAGCAAAATAAAAACGAAAACAATAAACAACATCATGGGTTTTTGTAGTTTTTTCGGGCTATATGGCCATGGTCTAGAGGCATTCTCTCCTGACGTTTCACCTTATCTATGGCAAGCATCCTCAGAGGTAGTGAGGATGCTTGCCATAGATGCAGGTGAAACATCAGGAGAGAATGCCTCTAGACCATGGCCATATAGCCCGAAAAAACTACAACAACCCTGTGATTCCAGCCATGAAAGCCTTCGACAATACATTAAACAACATCATGATTCAATAAAACATATGAATGCATAACGATGTAAAATTTCAATAAACACAATCACAGTGACAATGGGTAGGCTACATGTAAATCATAACATAAAACCATAACATAAAGCCAAAGGAAAATATAAAAATAATTAAAATATGGGGTATACTGTTCAGATGAGCCAGATTTCTATCAAAGGAAAAACAAAAAGGAATCGAGGTCTCTCATTCTGTTGCTGTTGTTGTGTATGGTGTAGATGAGTGGGAAGGAATAATCAGTTACTAGCAATGACTTTTGGCGAGAAATTAAGCACTTTTTTCATGTTCTCTAGCAATTTAAAGCTGTAACTCATTGTTCTGCTTCCTTTTTTTAGAGGTTATGGAGAAAAAGCTTCTTGAGGAGACGAAGCAGCTGGACCTGGATCTGAATAACGAAAGGCAGCGGTATCAGAACCTGCTCCAAGAGTTTAGTCGGTTAGAGGAGCGATACGATGACCTCAAGGATGAGATGAATTTGATGGTGGTGAGTAGGTTTTTTAAAAAGTCTAGAAAAATGTGTGATGGGAAAAAAGACCCAAGGTTACAGGCCTGTCTCTGGACACCCGGGTTGTGACAAAACAACTGAAAAGCAGTGAAGAAAGACGTGCTTCAACCCTCTGCTCCTTTGCTGCTTCCTTAACCTTTCCCAATTATTTTCCTTATTTTTACTAGTTCAGAAAGAAGATATAGAGGGTTCTCTTATGCCCATGACTTTGCATTTGTGGGTTGGGGGAAAGAGAGGATTTAATACACTATCTGGTACAATGCCCTTTGTATAACGACCCCAGAAACAATATTCTGGGAACCCTTTTGGAAGAAAGGGCAGCATGGCAACAGTCAGCAGTTGTCTGTGATTTGGAAAGGAATTATTTCAAATATATAACATTAAAGGTTGCCACATTTGCAGTCACAGCCCAAAAATCCGAGTTAAATCAGTACCAGGACTGTAGCGCAGCTGGCTGGGAGTCAGCTGCATTAAGATCACTACTGACCGAAAGGTCATGAGTTCGAAGCCAGCACAGGTTGGAGTGAGCTCCTGACCAAAATTGTGTAGCTTGTTGCCAACCTTTGCAGCCCGAAAGACAGTTGCATCTGTCAAGTAGGAAATTTAGGTACCACTTATGTGGGGAGGCAAATTTAACTAATTTATGAGGCCATAAAAATCTCCAGCAAGCATGCAAAGAATGAGGAAGTACTTCATCAGTGTCAAAAATGGTCGGCAAAGGGCAGCTCCCCTGGTGGCCAAAGTACCCTCAAGAAAAGCTGTAATGTTAAATAGCCTCTGAGTGTCTGTCTATATATGTTGTGTGTTTATGGCATTGAATGTTTGCCATGTATATGAGTCCCTGCAGGGGTGAGAAAGGCGGCATATAAATACTGCGCTCCTGTAAAAATGTATTGCACTTATTGAATCTGTACCTCAGCTATATTTCTTTCAGCCGTATTGTTTTTACATTGCTTTCAATTGTGTTGTTATTTGTTTTATCTGATGTTTTAATTGGTTAAAGTGTTTTACATGTGTGTTTTAATTGTAATCTTGGGTGTGTCCCTTGTAAGTTGCCCTGAGTCCCCTAGGGGAGATGGTTGGCAGGGTATAAAAATAAAGTTGTTATTATTATTATTATTATTATTATTATTATTAAAATAAATAAATAATACATTGTAATCCACCCTGAGTCCCCTGCAGGGTGAGAAGGGCCGAATATAAATACTGTCAATAAATAGTAAATAGCGGAAATGGAAATGGAGATAGACATTTGTTGTTGTTATTATGTCACTGCTACTATAATTTTAAAGAGCCAGTATATGGAATAAGTTTTAATGTTTATATTGGAAAGTGCTTATTGTACTTTTAAATATTGTATATTACTTGATTCCACTTGATTCCATGGCCCATGGCTGGTACAATAAATCATTCATTCATTCATTCATTCATACTAGTTCAGATGATGAAGCAAAATCAGTTTTGATTTCTGAAATGTATTCAAACTATGGGTTAAACCACTGAGCTGCTGAGCTTGTTGACCGAAAGGTCGCAAGTTCGAATCTGGGGAGTGACATGAGCTTCTGCTGTCAGCCCCAGCTTTTGCCAACCTAGCAGTTCGATAACATGCAAATGTGAGTAGATTAATAGGTACCGCTCTGGCAGGAAGGTAAGGGCGCGCCATGCAGTCATGCCGGCCACATGACCTTGGAGGTGTCTATGGACAACGCCGGCTCTTCGGCTTAGAAATGTAGATGAGCACCACCCCCCAGAGTCGGACACGACTGGACTTCATGTCAGGGGAAAACCTTTACCTTTTAAACTATTCAAACCAATAAACCCTCCGGAATGTGGGAAAGCACATTGTGATTATGGATGCTGAGATTTCTTCTCCTTCCCCCCCCCCCCCAGAACATCTCTAAGCCTGGACACAAACGAAGAGATTCCACACATAGCAACGAATCGGAAAATACCTATAGCTCTGAGATCACTGAACCAGAAGAGCCGCAAATGAGAATGGAGGTGAGCTTTGAAAATATAGGTGCAAGGGAATACGTGACCATGATTGTGTCTCCACTGTCCCCACATGTGCAAAATTTGCATTTGGTGAATATGTACCCATCACTTTCCGGAATAGCAGCTTGCTCTACAGCTTTCTTGCTCCTCACTACCACTTTGCTCCATAGCATATATCTGTAGCAAGATTGGATGTTGTCAGGAGGGAGGCAATCTTTTTTTTTCTTGCCAGGGGCTATTCTACTGGCAGATGTATTGGGCTAGTGGTTCTCAACATGTGGGTCCCCAGATAGATGTTTTGGCCTTCAACTCATAGAAAACCTAACAGTTGGTAAACTGGCTGGGATTTCTGGGAGTTGTAGGCCAGAACACCTGGGGAACCACAGGTTGAGAATCACTGTATTAGACTGAATACTTAATAATAATAATAATAATAATAATAATAATCTTTATTTGTATCCCACTACCATCTCCCCAAGGGACTTGGTGCGGCTTACATGAGGCCAAGCCCAAACAAAACATCAATAAACACAACATCAATAAACAATCAATAAAATACAAATCATATAAATCACGTAAACAAAAAAAACAATCAATAGTGACATAAACAGTTTTTAAAATGGTCAGGCCAAATGTTATAGATTCAAATTGAAAATATGCTGACGTGAACAAGGTAAAATATAACTAGGATACTTGTTGGGTTGGAAAAGTATAGGCCTTGTGCTGGAACTGCACCAGTTCCAGATTCCTTTGTCTGCCTTCCTCACTCACAGTTTTATGTTAATTTTTATGAGGGTGGAGTTTAGGAAAACACCACCAACAACAACAACAAAGCTTTATTTATATACTGCTCTATCTCCCCGAGGGGACTCAGAGCAGTTTCCAAGTAACATCATCAATACATACAAAGTAAATAACATAAACATAAAATTAACAAGACAATATAAGCACAAAAAAGCACAATAGCACATATATATTTAAAATAATCCTGCCTGTTCAAGGCAGTTTAAAAGTTTGTGTCAGCCATTTTGTTTACTCTTTGCCTGAGGAAAAAAGAGCTGTTTGTGTCAGTTAGTTGGCCACGCCCCTTTACCTGAGTTAAAGGAGCCATTTTAGGTCGTAGACCGCCAGGGAATCCTTGAGGAAGGATGTGTCTTCAGTTGGTCCCAGAGATTCAGGCTTGGACAAGCCATTTCAAGTCAATACTTCATAACCAGTTGTACTTATAACCACTTACATTACCTATAACCAGTTCCTTCAGACCAGTTACCTACTACAACTAGTGCTTCAACTAATTAGTTAAATGACTGGTTTATTTATTTATTTGTTAACCATATTTATATACCACCTTTCCCAGCCCGAAGGCAACTCAGGGCAGTTTACAAATGGCATAATTGGATGCCTACAATAACAAAGAACAGTTAAAACATTTAGCATAAATAACCTTCGATAAAATAAAATAAAACTGATAAAAATATAACTCCACAGTGTCTCATTACTAAAATCATTACCCAGTCACGTTGTTCAGTCGTTCCGAAGATCAGAGTTTGTCTGCTACACTGCATTTGGGAAAGCTTGCTCAAATAGCCAGGTTTTAACTTTTATCTGAAACTAGCTTTACCCGCCACGCGTTGCTGTGGCCAACCTTCTCTCCCTCTTTCTCTCCTTCTTTCACTCCTTCCTTCATTTCCTTTTCTTCTTTCCTTTCTTCCTTCTCTACCTGTTTACTTCCTTCCTTAGCTTTTTGCTCCCATCCTTCCTTCTCTTTATTTCTTTCCTTCCCTCCCTCTTTCTCTCCTTCTTTCTCTTCTTCCTTTGCTCCGTCTTTCCTCCCTTCCCTTTTTCTTTCCTTCTCTCCTCCTTCCTTCTCTTCCTCTTTCCTTCCTCCTCCCTTTTTATTTTCCTTCCTCTTTCTCTCCTTTCTTCCCTCTCTATCTCTTTCCTTCCTTCCTTCGCTCTTGACTTCCAGACTTCCTTTTCTTTCTTTCTTTTTTCTTTCTTTCTTTCTTTCTTTCTTTCTTCCTTCCTTCCTTCCTTCCTTTTGACACCTTCCCTTCCCCTTCCCTTTCTTCTTTTTTTCTATCTTTCTTTCCTTTCCTCCTTCCTTCCTTTCTCCCTTCTTTCCCATCCTCCTTCTCTCTTTATTCTTTCTTTCCTACCTTTTTATATATAGAGATGTTAGGAGGGTGGGGGCCGATCTAATATCCCTAGGAAGGGTGTTGTTGTGTGCTTTCAGGTCGTTTCAGAGTTAGGTTGACTCTGAGCGAGGGTTGGCTAAATGACCTTGGAGGGCCTTATCTGGCCCCGCGCCATAGTTTGGGGACCCCTGCTCTAGTGTGATGAAGCAGTAAATATCTCATTATTGTGTATGTATCCTGTACAAATTTACTGTGCATATGATTTTTCTTTGAATCTAACCACGGACCACCATTTCTTCCCTCCCTTTCCCTTCTAAACAAGTAAGAAAGAAAGGTATGATTGATTATAGACTTGAAACTTTTAGTTAGTTCATAGTTTTCCGCCTTTAAGGCTTTAGGTTAGATGCTTTTAGGTTAGATTCATTTAGCCAAATGATTTGTTATAAAATAATTTGTTTCCAAATCCTCTTTGGAACAGTTCAAATGCCAATAAGCCGCACTCCTAATCAAGTAACGTGCTCCTCAGTCCTTTTGCTCGTTATTGCTAACTCTAGACGTTAACATGCTCATTGGGTCTAGCTTCGGCTAGTATCTTTATGGTGTCCTTGCATTGCTTCTGTTTTCATGGCTGTAGTTTGGATTTCCCAAACTGCAGTGATAGTTGTTGCACCCCAAGGCTGGGAATCACATCTGTACTTAACACACAATCCCGTCCAAGATAAAATAGCAAAGCAGTTTATTGAAGAATATATATAAAAAGCAATCCAGCAAAACCAGTGTCCAAAAAAACAGGAATAATCCTCAAAGTTCAGAATACATAAAATGCATCAAAAACCAGGAATACAAAAGCAGGATAAATCCAAACAGGCAATATGGGAACAGTTCTTAGGACTTACTTACTTAGGAGATCCCTCGTAGTCCGAGTAGGATAGTCTTCCAAGATCAGTGTCCTGGGGGTGGGTCCGTAGGTGACTGTGGAGCCCTATTCTTGACCTGCATCTTCCCCCGCTGTGAGGGCATCAATTTCCAGGTGGAAGGTGGTCCCAGTTGGGGTTGGCTTGATGCACTTTCCTCTTGGCACATTTCTCTCTTTCACCTTCCATTCTGTAGCACTGCTGGTCACAGCTGACCTCCAATTGGAGCGCTCAAGGGCCAGGGCTTCCCAGTTCTCAGTGTCTATGCCAGAGTTTTTAAGGTTGGCTTTGAGCCCATCTTTCAATCTCTTTTCCTGCCCAACAACATTCCGTTTTCCATTCTTGAGTTCGGAGTAGAGCAACTGCTTGGAGATGGTGGTTGGGCATCCGGACAACGTGGCCGGTCCAGCGGAGTTGATGGCGGAGGACCATCGCTTCAGTGCTGGTGGTCTTTGCTTCTTCCAGCATGCTGACATTTGTCCACTTGTCTTCCCAAGAGATTTGCAGGATTTTCCGGAGGCAGCGCTGATGGAATCGTTCCAGGAGTTGCATGTGACGTCTGTAGACAGCCCACGTCTCACAGGCGTATAGCAGGGTTGGGAGGACAATAGCTTTATAAACAAGTACCTTAGTTCTTAGGAGTTTGAGACATTAAACATGAACACAAGAATCATAAACACAAGAAAACCTGAAACTAGAGATCCCCTGAAAGACTTGACTTGGCAAGAGTTTTATACTCCAAAATCAACGTTGTCTGGACCGAGGAAATGATCTGCTGGTGTCTCTAATATAGACATAAAACCGATAAGGGCTTATTGGCCAATAAGCAACTTGACCTTCAAACCGCCTCATGAGAGACTTTATGTTGACAAAACATCTATATCCTATCTCACTGCTGCTCATGAGCCTGTTCCACCTGGAGTTGCATCTTCCCGCCTTGCATCTTCCTCCCCTGAGCTCATTTCTGCCTCTGACTTTGCATCTCTAGGGAACTGCCTTTCTGGAATGTGGTCTCCCTTGGACAGAGACCCCTCATTCTCAGGGCTTAAAATCTCATGATTCTCTTGCTGGTCTGCAGGCCCAGAATCCCCACTGTCATTATCAGGCTGCCTAACAGGCCCAGAATCCCCAGTGAGATCAGGTACAGACACAATCCAAGGCTGGACTACAACAATAGTTTTCCCACCAGCAACATCAGCAGGAATAACATTCCTAGAAAATTTGGGATGTTTTTCTCTGATCTTAGACTATAGCCTATTGTTAAGATCTGCTTTGTAGCAGTGCAGACAACAGAATATATATATATACACACAAATAAATTTAGAACCATTCTGATCTGCTTCCTTTTGGGTCAGGAACCAAGCGAGAAGAAAGCTCCCCTGGACATGTCTCTCTTCCTCAAGCTGCAAAAACGGGTTTCGGAGCTGGAGCAGGAAAAGCAATCCATGCAGGATGAGCTGGACAGGAAGGAAGAACAAGTTCTCCGAGCCAAGGCCCAGGTAAAGCCTCACAGGGCATTGTCTTTCAACAATGAAAGTTGAAATTCTGTTTTTTTCCATCCTGTGTTGCTTTATTTTATTTTACTTACATGTCGCCTCTCTGCTAGCATAGGGTCCAGGGAGGCTTACACAAAAATCAAAACAGATGCAAAATAGATGGCATGAGGAGGTGTGTGCAGGGCACTAGCTAAGGCCGGATCCCTCTTTCAGCCTGAAGCATTGAATTTAGTTTCAGGGAAATTTACATTCCAGTGATGGGTGGAGCCAAAGGTATATCTTTCCCAGTAGAGGATGGGAATTGGAGTACTGCAGGAAAGCCAGATTTAACCAGACCGAGCTCTTAGATCCTTGGGGGAGGCTCTCCTTTTGCCCTTGCCTTTATCACAGGCTCATCTTGTAAGCACAAGGGAGAGAGCCTTCTCCTCTGTGCCCCCCCCCTCTGACTCTGGAACTCATTGCCCAGTGAGATTAGGAAGGCCCCCACCTTAGAAATTTTCAAGAGGGATCTCAAAACCTGGCTTTCCCGATGCGCTTTTGGAGAGAAGCCAAAAAGAGGAGAAAATCCAGGGAGAAAATCACTGCTCTAGGGGTTGAGAAGGGCGGGGCAAAAATGTTCAAAATAAATCAATAAATCACAAAAAAAAAACAGTATATAATTATATATGGTGAAAGAGAGAGAAGGCATGAGGGGAAGACGAAAAGAACGAAAGGAGCAGAGCCAAGACTTGATTCCACTGAGAGGGAGGCCTCCTCCTCCTCCTCCTCGGCGGGCCGGATAAACACCCTCAGCGGGTCGTAGTTTGAGGAACCCTGCCATAAAGCATCTTTCTATTTGAATGACTTCTTTGCTCCTTTGCACATTTCTTTTAGACTTTAAATGCTGCATTCATCCCACCCTTTCCTGTTATTTTAATTTTGCTAAACTGTAAACACAACCGCCAAAGTCACAATTTTGATCTTGGGACCATCAAGCCACTTGCATTTAAAGTTGGATAAATTTATGTAAACCTTATTAAATCCAGATATTTCTGGATAAATGTGGGCAAAGTTAGAGAGTTTGCAAAGCTGGTGAACATGAACTGCAGGTTGCGTTGCTGGTTGACATTGTTGCTTAAACCTTTGTGCCGGCAGGACTGCTAACTGAAAGGTCAGCGGTTTGAAACCGGGGAGTGGGGCGAGCTCCCATCTGTCAGCTCCATTTTTTAGTTTGGGGACATGAGAGAAGCCTCCCACGGGGTGGTAAAACATCTGGGCGTTCCCTGGGTAACATCCTTGCAGACAGCCCATTCTCTCACACCAGAAGCAACTTGCAGTTTCTCAAGTCACTCCTGGCTTGAAAAAAAAAATAGTTCTGTTGCAAAAGTTTTTTATAAATGTAAAAAAAAATCTTCCTACAAATATCTTCTGTTTTGCACCTTTACAGTAGTACCAGCTAACTGATAAATCCCTTTTTGGTTTTTCTGTTTACCTAGGCGGAGGAAAGGCCTCAAATGAGAGGCGCTGAGCTGGAATATGAATCACTTAAGGTAATTCTATGTATATATGTATTTTAAGAGTGAAAAAGTTTCTCATAACTAAGTCACAACACAAAATATTAGGGATATATATATATTAATACTGCAAAGGGGCTGCCCCACTTCAAAGAAAAGGGGTTTCAGGAGAGAGAAAAGTTACGATTTATTATTTATTATTCTTAATGGTGCCACCAATTTATGATGTGAGGTAATTTTGGGAGATTGGGCACACTGAACGCAGAATTAATGGAGATGAGGCAGTCTTAAAATCAAAGAGAACAAGTTTATTTTGAAACAAAGCGTATGGTTGCAGTTTGGTGATAAACTTGGAAGATACTTGGAGAACGTTACATATAACTTGGTTGCGATACAGTACAGACTTCTGATGTTACAACTTATCAATAACTTTTGCTGTGGTGAAGCACTTTATTAAACAGTGGTTCCTGAGGTGAATAGTCTTCCTGTTTGATCCTTCCGTGATCAAACCTCAGATCTCTAGTTCACTTTTAACTAGTGATCTAAACAAGCTTCTATTAGTCTTCTCTAACTAATGAAACTAATAAGGTTTCCCCTTCAGCCTTCCTAAACTGAAGAAACCTCTGACTATTCACAAACACTGCTTCTCTACTTCCCACTCTCTCTCTCAACACTTCATTTCCCTGAGCCTAAAACCTGACTCTTCATTCCTCTGAGCCTAAACCCCCAACTCACTTTAACTGTCGCTTTTCAAAACTCTCCTCTCTAAGCTCCTCCCACTTCTCTACAGCATCGTTTCCATGGTAACACACTCCTCACAGCTAGGCCGCTCCAGCATTAGGGCAACCAGTGCAAACACAAATACAGTTATAATCATATCATTTACAATCAACTTCTGTACAAATACCTTTTTATCGGCCACCCCAAGACTGTGGAATGACCTGCCGGAAAAGCTCTGATAGTTAAAGGAGGGGTCGGAATGAAAAATACGATTGAAGACCTATCTCTTTCAGCAGGCCTACTTTCTATCATGAGTTTCAGTTTATATTCTATTGCCACTATATGTCAGCATTATAGCTGTGTTTGGTATGTTTTCATATGGTGATAAATAGATCTGTTTATTGATTAGTCCACTGACCATATCAATAATAAAAGACAAAAAAATACACCAACAAGGGGACATAATCACAATCCTATAACTCCTCTTAATAGTTAACTAAATTAAATTAAATCACAATAAAACTTGATTAAATAATAAGTTTGATAAAATGGGATTAAATTACGAGATGAAAGCAGGGGAAATAGTTTTCATATATGTTTGAGTGTGTGTGTATGGGCCCCTGGTGGCGCAGTGGGTTAAACCGCAGAGCTGCTGAAATTGCTGACCAGAAGGTGGACAATTTAAATCCAAGAAGCAGGGTGAGCTCATTCTATTAGCCCCAGGTTCTGCCAATTTAGCAGTTTGAAAACATGCAAATGTGAGTAGATCAATAGGTAGTGTTTTGGTGGGGAGATAACGGCGCTCCATGCAGTCATGCAGACCACATTACCTTGGAGGTGCCTATGGACAACACCTCTCTTCGACTTAGAAATGGAGGTGAGCTCCACCCTCCAAAGTCGGACACTACTAGACTGAGGACTCTTTCACACAGCCCTTTATTCCAGGATATCAAGGCAGAAAATCCCACATTATTTGAGTGTGATCTCAGATAACCCAGTTCAAAGCAGATATTGTGGGATTTTGTGCCTTGATATTCGGTTTGGGCCCCGCCTATCTCCGCAATCACATCTCCTTCTATGAACCGGCACGAACTCTAAGATCTTCCGGTGAGGCCCTCCTCTTGGTCCCACCTTTGTCACAAGCACGGTTTGTGGGGATGAAAGAGAGGGCCTTCTCGGTGGTGGCTCCCCGCCTCTGGAACGTCCTTCCAAGGGAAATAAGACAGGCCCCATCCCTCCCCTCCAATTAGGACCTGGTGGTTTCAACAAGCCTTTGAAAATGACCAGTTCAAACTCAGTCTTACACATTGTCGAATACGGCCTTATTCTTTCTACCAATTACCCAGATCATTTCCTCTAATTGGCCCCGGAATGAACAGCCACAGACCCATTCCTAATATTATTGTTGCACTTAATTCCTGGGCCCTCTAGAATTTTTGGGCTTGCACAAATCTTGGCCCGGCCTTGTAAATGTTTAATTGTCTTGAAAAGGCAGGGTTACTTTTAATATATGTGTGTTATGGCGACAATTTTTATGCTTATATTTTGTTTGTTAACCTTATGGTTATGTTGTTTTTTTTACTTTGTTTGTTTTTGTGATGTTACCTGGGAACCGCTCTGAGTTCCCTCGGCAAGATAGAGCAGTATATAAATAAAGATGATGATGATGATGATGATGATGATGATGATGGTGACGATGATTATTATTATTATTTGCAACACAACAAGATGAGTCCACAGCAGACACTCTGCTGGCTGTTGAATTGGATCACACGTCGAGCACTTCCCAAGTGTCTAGGACTGTGTGATGTATCGGCGAATAATGCATGCAGATCTCAGTAAAGCGGCCTTTTGCAGCTGGCAGTTGGTAATTTTGTCAGTGCCGATTGTGTTTAAGTGCAGGCCAAGGTCTTGAGGCACTGCACCCAGTGTGCCGATCACCACTGGGACCACCTTGACTGGCTTGTGCCAGAGTTTGCAGTTCGATCTTTAAATCCTCATATCGTGTCATCTTTTCCAGTTGTTTCTCTTCAATCCTCCTGTCACCTGGGATTGCAACATCGACAATCCATACTTTGTTTTTTAACACGATCGTGAGGTCAGGAGTGTTGTGCTCCAAAACTCTCTCTGAATCCGGAAGTCTCAGAGTTTGGCGTGTTCATTCTCTGTAACTTTTTCCTGCTTGTGATCCCACCAGTTCTTTGTCGCAGGCAGATGGTATTCATGGCACAAGTTGCAATGAATCATCGAGGCAATGGTGTTGTGCCTATGCTTGTAGTCTGTCTGCATGGTCTTCTTGCAGCAGCTGAGGATTATTATTATTATTATTATTATTATTATTATTATTATTATTATTATTATTATTATGGGATATAGGGCTGTGTGGAAGGGCCCTTAATGTCAGGGGAAACCTTTACCTTTATATGTGTGTGTGTGTTTACCTATGTAAATTAATAACTTATAATATTTTATGTTCATTGGTTTTTGAATTTGTTGCACCCTGCCTTGAGCCATGAGGAGAGGCAGATAATAAATAAAATGTATTATTGTTGTTATTGTTCCCCAGTATTGTTCCCCAGCAACTTCCCCAGTATGTTTAAGGTGGACTAAAACAATGATTGTCTTGCAGCGTCAAGAGCTTGAATCAGAAAATAAGAAACTGAAGAATGAGTTGAATGAGCTGAGGAAAGCCCTGCTGGAAAAGAGCTCTCCAGATGCAACGGCCCCTGGTGCCCCGGGGTACAGAGTCCTCTTGGATCAGATGACCTCTGTCAGCGAGGAGCTAGAGGTGCGCAAGGAGGAAGTCCTCATCCTGAGGTCTCAGCTGATGAGCCAGAAGGAGGCAATTCCACCCAAGGTAAGGAACAAAATGGAAAAGTGGATTGACCATACTGTTTTTCATTCTGCTAGGAAGCATGAGAGTACTTATCTCGAGTGTGTAGTTCATCCTCCCTTCTGTACTAGCCTACAGCTTGGAAAAGTTATGTCCAACCTGGCCATTGTGGCTGGGGGACTATGGGGTTTGTAATTCAAAAAGTGACTCTCCCGGGCTTTGGATCAGCTTTAATAGTGCTAAGAAGAAAAAGGCCACAAATGAGGAAAAACACAAACAGAACATGAAATCCTCGTTTGGCTAATGTATGATACCACACTCCTATTTCAGGTTTTTAGAAATTCAGACTGTGCTAATGATATGCAGGACTTAATCAGCTGTTTTATTAATTGATGAAGTAATTCCTGGGAATGCCATGGGACTTTGAAGCCTGTTATAGCGAAGCACAGCTGAGTAGTAGTAGTAACATTTTAAATTGATTTATCAGACGGGGAAATATAGAAAAATAATCCCAATGCTGCTCAACCAAATTATAACAATAACACCACCACTACTACAAGCTCACCAAAATATAGAGGGAATATGGTTGTTGAAATCAACTGTATATTTAAAAGCTAGGAACTGGGAACCGCTGGAACTGAGGGACTTAAAAATGATTCTTCAAAAGATTTCCACTGCCACCATATTAATAATAAACAGGCTGAGGAATTATTGAGAGATTGTTCAGTAACACACTCTGTGTTACTATTGTTTTCTTAGAGGCTTTTAGAAGCTAACTTGAATAATGCTTTGATCACAAAGGTATTCACACTGAGGCTGGTATAAGTTGATAAAAATAACAAGAACGTTTTATTAAACAAACTTGAATTATTCAGGTACAAATGCTTAATGGTTTCAGTAAAATACTGGCACAAAAAGCTTATGGTTGCGTTTGAGTAAAGATCTTAAAAACTTCTGGGTTACAAGTCTTAAAAGGTCCAACACAGAAAATTACTTCAGGAAATTTTCTGAAATGAATCTCTGAAAGTAACTCCCAAAAATCCCCCTTAGGAATCTAGCCAAAACCCTGAACTAGCCTTCCTTAGGGAATGAACAGACCACTAACAGGGTTCTGTTCCACACAGTATTCCAACTTGCAAACTGGGAACTCAAACCTCAGTTTAAAAGACACTTTTTTCCTTTAGATCACTTAGGCTTCGCCCCCATCTTCCTAACCAATCCTAGCCTTCTAACTTTCCCTCCAAGACTACAGCATGCCCCCTCAAGGCAAACCTAAACTAAGACGGCTTCTCCCTGTCTCCCTTTCCTAAAATGGATGCCGTGGCTTCGCCAGGCCCATTCCCTTTAGGCTTCAGGCAGCCAGCTTAGGTAAGGGATTCATTACACCTGTCAGGACAGTATTGCTAAATTACAACAGGCAATGTAATTATGATGTCAAACTAAATCCCTTGTAAAATTCCTTTCTTAATCTCATAGTCTAAGATACTTCTACAGTGCCATATAATGCATATTATCAAAGCAGTTAATCCACATTATCTGCTCTAAACTGGATTTCATTTATTTATTTATTTATTTATTTACTGTATTTGTATACCGCTCCTCTCAGCCCTCAGACGACTCAAGGTGGTTTTCATGGCAAAATTCAGTGCCACAAAAGTCCAAGAACAATTTGAAAACACAAACATAAGTAAAATCATAACAACAGCAATGAAACATAAGTCATTAATGAATCCTTATTCAAAACATTGTCCAGTTCCATCGTATAGTTGTTCAATTTTCCTATGACAGCTGCTCTGTATTTGCAAACGCTTGCACGAAAAGCTATGTCTTGAGTTTTTTTTAATGAAATGTTAGAAGGGAAGAAGCTGATCTGATATACCTGGGGAGGGTGTTCCATAGCCGAGGGGCCACTGCTGAGAAGGCCTTGTCTCTCGTCCCCGCCAGACGTACTTGTGACAAAGGCGGGACCGATAGCAGGGCCACCCCAGACGATCTTAAAGTTGAGCTATGAGTCTACACTATCATATAATCCAGTTCAAAGCAGATAATTTGGATTTTATATGGCAGTGCAGAAGGAACCTAAGGCCCCTTCCACACGGTTGAATAAAATCCCACGTTATCTGCTCTGAACTGGGATATATGACAGTGTGGACTCAGATAAGCCAGTTCAAAGCAGATATTGTGGGATTTTCCGCCTTGATATTCTGGGTTATAAGGCTGTGTGGAAGGGACCTAAGTTTCATGGCGACATTTGAACTCTGTGGTACCTGCAAGAGTTCATGAAAAGGTAGAGAAGAGGTCTGTTTTCCTAACTGGGCAATACAACTGACCAGGTTTTTGTCTTTGTTTTTCTGCTTGCAAATGGATTGCCAGGATGACAAGGTAAGTCCATTTCCTGCTGTTTATTTATTTATCGTGTCAGTAGCAACCAGACAATTGTATTACATTTTTAACAAATTTTTAACAAACAGACAAAACACAAAGTTTGCAAGCTTGGTAGTTGATTAAATGTCCTTTGACCAGTAGCTGGCCACTTGGAGTGCCTCTGGTGTTGCCGCAAGAAGGTCCTCCATTGTGCATGTGGCAGGGCTCAGGTTGCATTGCAGCAGGTGGTCTGTGGTTTGCTCTTCTCCACACTCGCATGTCGTGGACTCCACTTTGTGGCCCCATTTCTGAAGGTTGGCTCTGCATCTCGTGGTGCCAGTGCACAGTCTGTTCAGCGCCTTCCAAGTCGCCATTTTCTTTGTGCCCAGGGGGGGAGTCTCTCATTTGGTATCAGCCACGGATTGAGGTTCTGGGTTTGAGCCTGCCACTTTTGGACTCTCGCTTGCTGAGGTGTTCCAGCGAGTGTCTCTGTAGATCTTAGAAAACTATTTCTTGATTTACGACGTTGACATGCTGGCTGATACCCAAACAGGGGATGAGCTGGAGATGTCACTTCCTTGGTCCTTTCACTATTGGCTGCTACTTCCTGGCGGATGTCAGGTGGTGCAATACCGGCTAAACAGTGTAATTTCTCCAGTGGTGTAGGGCGCAGACACCCCGTGATAATGTAGCATGTCTCATTAAGAGCCACATCCACTGTTTTAGTGTGGTGAGATGTGTTCCACACTGGGCATGCATACTCAGCAGCAGAGTAGCATAGTGCAAGGGCAGATGTCTTCACTGTGTCTGGTTGTGATCCCCAGGTTGTGCCAGTCAGCTTTCGTATGATATTGTTTCTAGCACCCACTTTTTGCTTAATGTTCAGGCAGTGCTTCTTGTAAGTCAGAGCACGGTCCAGAGTGACTCCCAGGGATTTGGGTGCGCTGCAATGCTCCAGTGGGATTCCTTCCGAGGTGATCCTCAGAGCTTGGGATGCTTGTCTGTTCTTGAGATGAAAAGAACATGTCTGTGTTTTAGATTGATTAGAGATCAGCTGGTTTTCCCTGGAATAGGCCGTAAGAGCACCTAGAGCTTCGGAGAGCTTCTGTTCAACCATCTCAAAGCTCCCTGCTTGAGCAGTAATGGCACGATCGTCAGCATAGATGAAGTCCCTTCTGGCCATGGCTGGTCATTTGTGTAAATGTTGAACATGGATGGAGCAAGCACGCTCCCCTGAGGCAGGCCGTTCCTCTGTTTCCGCCATCTGCTTCTCTGGCCCTGGAACTCTACAAAAAAGCTCCTGTTTTGTAGCAGGTTTCCTATGAGGCGGGTGAGGTGGTCGTCCTTTGTGAGATTATACATTTTTCTCAGGAGGAGGCGGTGGTTCACAGTATCATAAGCTGCTGACAGGTCTATGAAGACCGCTCCTGTGATGTGCTGCCTTTCAAAGCCATCTTCCTGCTGTTGATGATGCATCAAATGATAGAATTTGCATTGAGCCCAACATGTACTTACGTTTAATGTGTTCAAGCAATGACTAGGCTGACCTAATCAAATTTATATTCTGTAAATTCTTCTCAGAACACGATGACTGACTCCACCATCCTTTTGGAGGATGTACAGAAGATGAAGGACAAAGGAGAGATCGCTCAGGCGTACATTGGTTTGAAGGAGACAAACAGGTACTTGCACTCAGATGCCTTATACATGGGATTCAGTTTTTGTGTCATTGGTTTTCATAAAGTGGAAGCTGAAAAACCACATAAATTGACAGATTATGAACAATAAGAGCAAAACATGTAAGTGGAAATCATAATTGCTGTATACAATATAGGAACATAAGTAGCCCGTATTCAGAGCAGAATGCAACTCCATATATTTTGTCATTGGAACTGGTTGTAAGAAACAGTAGCCTTGTGTCAGGATCACTGTATCAGCCTGACACTGGCTGCTTCAGTTCTCTGCCCTAAACAAGGGAGGTGGAGGGGAGGGAGGCTGGGTACACTTGGGGAAGATAAGACATCTACACTGCAATTGAAACTGCATTTAACAGACTGTGGGCAAAGTGTGTGGCCACTAGGGGGCGGGTAGGAGTTAAAGCTGATACATTCAGGAGGTTTGAGTGGGAAAACTTTAGAACTGTCTTTGTAGGATTCTGGAAAGAAGGAAGAAACCACTTGTCTCCAGCGTTTTATTGGTGTGAGTTTGATTCCAGAGTCTGACAGCTTTGGATCCTTATTTATCTGCTCATTCCTACAGGATCCCAACAGAATAAGTTATAATTTATTTATTATTTATTTATTTACACCCTGAAGGGGACTAAGAGCGGCTTACAAAATATATATACATACAATATTCTATATTATTAGCATAGTACAATATCAGTATTATATATTATTATATTGTACTATACCATTATATTGCAATATTACTCGTAATATTGCATGTAATATAAATTATATAATTATAAGATCATGTTTATTTATTTATTTATTTTTATGGTATTTGTATGCTGCCCTTCTCACCCTGAAGGGGACTCAGAGCAGCTTACAAGATATATATATACATACAATATATTAAATTATTAGCATAGCACAATATCAGTATTATATATTACTATATTGCGCTACACCATTATATTGTAATATTATTAGTAATATTACATGTAATATAAAATATATAATTATAATATTGTATTATTATATTGTAATACAGGCGTCCCCTGGGCAAAGTCCTTGCAGACGGCCAATTCTCTCACACCAGAAGCGACTTGCTCCTGACACGACAAAAATAAATAATAATACAGTATTATTAGGAGTAGTATTAAATTGTATTACATTATAATATTATAAATATTATATGTATGTATATTATATTATATTATATTATATGTAAAGCACAGGAGACAATCTGGAACTGTCTTCTGAATTATAATATAGTATTATTATTATTAGTAGTAGTAGTATTAAATTGTATTACATTATAATATAAATATTATATGTATGTATATTATATTATATTATATTATATGTAAAGCACAGGAGACAATCTGGAACTGTCTTCTGAATTATAATATAGTATTATTATTATTAGTAGTAGTAGTATTAAATTGTGGCGGACATCCATCCAGTCGGTGAAAACAAGACCTGGGGCTGACTGTAGCTCAGATCACGAACTTCTTATTGCCCAATTTAGAATAAAACTAAAGAGATCAGGGAAAATACACAGACCAGTTAGATATGATCTCACTAACATTCCTAGCGAATATACCGTGGAAGTGAAGAACAGATTTGAAGGACTAGATTTAGTAAACAGAGTCCCAGAAGAACTATGGACAGAAGTCCGCGACATTGTTCAGGAGGCGGCAACAAAGTACGTCCCAAAGAAAAAGAAAACCAAGAAGGCAAAATGGTTGTCTGCTGAGGCACTGGAAGTAGCCCAAGAAAGGAGGAAAGCAAAAGGAAACAGGGATAAGGGGAGATATGCCCAGTTAAATGCGCAATTCCAGAGGTTAGCCAGAAGAGATAAGGAACTATTTTTAAATAAGCAATGCATGGAAGTTGAACGAAGACAACAGAATAGGAAGGACAAGAGACCTCTTCCAGAAAATTAGAAACATTGGAGGTAAATTTCAGGCAAAAATTGGTATGATAAGAAACAAAGATGGCAAGGACCTAACAGAAGCTGAAGAGATCAAGAGAAGGTGGCGAGACTATACAGAAGATCTGTATAGGAAGGATAATAATATTGAGGATAGTTTTGACGGTGTGGTGAATGAATTAGAACCAGACATCCTGAGGAGTGAGGTTGAATGGGCCTTAAGAAGCATAGCTAACAACAAGGCAGCAGGAGATGACGGGATCCCAGCTGAACTGTTTAAAATCTTAAAAGATGATGCTGTCAAGGTGATGCATGCCATTTGCCAGCAAATATGGAAAACACAAGAATGGCCATCAGACTGGAAAAAATCAACTTATATCCCCATACCAAAAAAGGGAAATGCGAAAGATTGCTCAAACTTCCGTACAGTGGCCCTTATTTCTCATGCCAGTAAGGTAATGCTCAAGATCCTGCAAGGAAGACTCCAGCAATACATGGAGCGAGAGTTGCCAGATGTTCAAGCTGGGTTTAGAAAAGGCAGAGGAACGGGAGACCAGATTGCCAATATCCGCTGGATAATGGAGAAAGGCAGGGAGTTTCAGAAAAACATCTATTTCTGTTTCATTGACTATTCTAAAGCCTTTGACTGTGTGGATCATAATAAATTGTGGCAAGTTCTTGGTGGGATGGGGATACCAAGCCACCTTGTCTCTCTCCTGAGGAATCTGTACAAGGACCAAGTAGCAACAGTCAGAACTGACCACGGAACAACAGACTGGTTCAAGATTGGGAAAGGCGTACGGCAAGGCTGCATACTCTCACCCAACCTTTTTAACTTGTATGCAGAACACATCATGCGATGTGCAGGGCTTGATGAATGCAAGGCTGGGGTGAAAATTGCTGGAAGAAACATTAACAACCTCAGATATGCAGATGACACCACTCTGATGGCCGAAAGCGAGGAGGAGCTGAGGAGCCTTCTAATCAAGGTGAAAGAAGAAAGCGCAAAAGCCGGGTTGCAGCTAAACGTCAAAAAAAAACCAAGATTATGGCAACAAGAATGATTGACAACTGGAAAATAGAGGGAGAAAATGTGGAGGCCGTGACAGACTTTGTATTTCTAGGTGCAAAGATTACTGCAGATGCAGACTGTAGCCAGGAAATCAGAAGACGCTTACTTCTTGGGAGGAGAGCAATGTCCAGTCTCGATAAAAGAGTGAAGAGTAGAGACATCAGACTGGCAACAAAGATCCGCCTAGTCAAAGCCATGGTATTCCCTGTAGTAACCTACGGATGTGAGAGCTGGACCTTAGGGAAGGCTGAGCGAAGGAAGATAGATGCTTTTGAACTGTGGTGGTGGAGGAAAGTTCTGAGAGTGCCTTGGACTGCGAGAAGATCCAACCAGTCCATCCTCCAGGAAATAAAGCCCGACTGCTCATTGGAGGGAAGGATACTAGAGACAAAGTTGAAGTACTTTGGCCACATCATGAGGAGACAGGAAAGCCTAGAGAAGACAATTATGCTGGGGAAAGTGGAAGGCAAAAGGAAGAGGGGCCGAACAAGGGCAAGATGGATGGATGGCATCCTTGAAGTGACTGGACTGACCTTGAAGGAGCTGGGGGTGGTGACGGCCGACAGGGAGCTCTGGCGTGGGCTGGTCCATGGGGTCACGAAGAGTCGGAGACGACTGAACGAATGAACAACAACATCTGCAAGGGACACATTCCCAACCACAGATTCCTTAAACCACAGATATGAAAAAAAAAAGAGCACATTCTAAGGATTATTTCTGCATTTGATTTATTAAAATATTAGGTTCTTGTGGGTTTTTTCGGGCTATAGGGCCATGTTCTAGAGGCATTTCTCCTGACGTTTCGCCTGCATCTATGGCAAGCATCCTCAGAGGTAGTGCTCTTTGATTTGATATAGCCCGAAAAAACCCACAAGAACCTAGTGATTCCAGCCATGAAAGCCTTCGACAATACATGATAAATATTATATGTATGTACAATATATTATATTATATTATATTATTAGTAAAGTACAGGAGACAAGATGGAACTGTCTTCTGAATTATAATATAGTATTATTATTATTATTATTATTATTATTACATTGTATTACACTATAATATTATAAATATATGTATGTACAATATATTATATTGTATTATTAGTAAAGCACAGGAGATAAGATGGAACTGTCTTCTGAATTATAATATAGTATTATTATTAGTAGTATTAAATTGTATTACATTATAATACTATAAATATTATATGTATGTACATTATTATATTATATTATATTATATTATATTATATTATATTATATTATATTATATTATTAGTAAAGCACAGGAGACAAGATGGAACTGTCTTCCTGGTCCCCTCTCTCTTCACTTGATATCCATTGAATATAAATGTGCCTAAAATCACATTTGTAGAATTCATAGTTGTGAAAATCGTATGTAATTTTTGAAAACAACACTGCCTTGGCTTTCGTTGTCCATCTCATTAATCATTGCACCACCGTCATCATTTATCCTGTTTTTTTGTGTTTTTGCATTTTGGGAAAAAAATATTTTGCTTGGAAGATCGTCTCTTCAAGACTATCATATGCTGAATGAGGATGGAGAGCTGTGGCTGGTTTATGAAGGGCTAAAACAAGCCAACAGGTTACAAGACTTCGCAGGATGGGTGTTTTTGTTTTAAGTTGCAGCTTCTCTCTCATGTTACTAACATGCTTTGGCCATAATGTTTCTGGCAGTAGCTCCAAAATCTCCTATCAGATAAATAAATGGTTAAAAGAAAAGAAGGAAATCATCCAGGTCTAGCGGGAGCCCCTGGCCGGCTGAACTGCTGACCAAAAGGTCGGCGGTTGAATCCGGGGAGTGAGGTGAGCTCCTATCTGTCAGCTCCAACTTCCCATGCGAGGACATTGGAAAAGCCTCCCACAGGATGGTAAAAAAATCCGGGCCTTCTCGGGCAACGTCCTGGCAGACGGGCAATTTTCTTACACCAGAAGCGACTTGTAGTTTCTCACGTTGCTCCTGACATGAAAAAATAAATCTAGGTCTAGCAAGCACGAGACTACTAGCATCCATAGT